TGGGTGGGTGGGTGCCAGGAGGGAGGAGCCCCAGGGCCAGGCCAGCATCTTCCCTCCGATCTGGGCTGTGATAAGCTGGTCCCCTTGAAGCCTGGTGAACCTGAAAGAGCAGCCCAGGCTCTGACATCCTCGGGTGTGACCGCTCCCTCCCCACCCCCAAGCCCCGCAGCCCAGCCCTCCCGGCTTCAAAGGGGTGGCCGAGAGTCTTCTGCAGCTGTCCCAGAGGGGGGGGCTGAGGCTAATGTCCAGGGACCAGGCCATGTGACAGAAGCTGAGGATGAGGGGACGTGGGGCCACCACACCCCCGTGGACCTGGGGTTGGGAGCGCCGGGCAGGGGATCAGAGCATTGTCTGGGGTCCAGGCCAGGGGACCTGGGACAGGAATGCAGGATGTAGGACACAGGAAAAGGGACAGGAACATAGGACATGGGGTCGGGACCAGCACAGACTCAACCTGGAGCTTGGGGCATGGGGTTAAGGACCTGCAGGCGCCAGCCAGGCTGCCCTAGCCCCCCGGGTGGCGCTGCTTGGGGCTTGCAGGGCCGTGGACCTGCTGTGGGGGCTGAGGTGGCATGGAGGGGCTGAGACCCGAGGGGCCGGAAGGTGAGCGCCCCCGGCGCACCTTGCCCAGACCCAGGGCGTCGGCTGGGCTGCCCTGGGACACACGGGCCTGTGAGGCGGGCTGCTGCAAGGTGGGGTACAGAGACAGGGGACTCCCACAGGGTCAAGCTTGTGCGGGGGCCAGGCCCCCAGGCTGGGCTGGGAAGCAGCCTCCACCCCATGCCTGACACCAGCACCTGGCACGTCCCTGCTGCATCTGGTGGGCAGGGACGGAGGCTGCTGATCACGGGGAGGGGCGGGGATTGGGCAGGGCAGGGCAGGGGCGGGGCCTGGCAGCTGGGGGGCTCTCTCTGTGCCCCGTGCTGACCTCGCCCGGTGTCGCGTGCCCATCCTGTTCAACTGCCCAGGCCTGGCTGGGCTCAGGGCCCTCACAAGATGGGCCGGGAGTCAGAGGAGCTGAGGGCCAGGGCCTCTCCTGGGAGCCCTGTGGAGGTCCGTGCATTCCTTCCCCAGATTCAACCCCCATCCTGCCAACCCCACCCAGGTTGTCCCCCACCCCGTCGGCTGCCCCGCTGAGCCCTCTCCGGTCCTGCCTTGGCTCAGAGACCTCCACAAGCCGGTGCTCCCCCGGCCCAGTCACCCTGAGCCCTGGACTGCTGCCATCTGTGGAAGGGAGGGTCGACCTCCCATTCAGGCCAGCAAGCGTCTTTGACCCCAGGTGGGAGATTGCAAGGGTCCCCAGACCTGGGAATGTAGGGCCCTGGAGGTGGGATCTGCCTCCCAAGGAGCTTCTCCTGTGGAGACCCCCCAGGGGGTGGCACCCAATGGAGCCCTGGGTCAGCAGCTTCCGACACCTTTTTCTGGCAGTGTTGCCTGGGGTCACCCCTCAGTGTCTGCTGAGTAGCGGCCCAGCCCAGACCCTGCGGCAAGTGGCGCCCCAATCGGCGGCCCGCAACCCTGGCACCCCTGATGTGAGGCGTGGAAGCCGCTGACACAGGACTTGCACCG